CGTCAAGTTGCCGGTTCTCTCCTCATCGTTATCTGTCGCTTCCGCACCGGATCGCCCTCTGCTCCTCTGAGACTGCCTCTGGCGCGAACCTTCTTCTCTGCCTCTAGAACCCCCTGCGTCCTTTTCATCGGAATCTTCAGCACCGCCTGAGCTGCTGGTATTAGCCGGTCGGTTGCGGCGCTGCTGTCCTCCTCTCTGTTGGCTGCCTGCTGCGCTTCCTCTGCTTCGTGAGCTTTCATTGTCTTCATCTTCTCCCTCCTCGTCCTCCTCCTCCTCCTGCGTTCCTGCAGCTGCCGGGGGCGAGCGTGGTGCCTGTCGTGTGCGCTGTGCCTGCTGACGAGACCTGCCCTCTTCCGCCTTCTCCGCCCGACCCGTCAAGTTGCCGGTTCGCTTCTCTTCGTCATCTATCGCTTCCGCACCGGCGGATCGCTCTCTGCTCCTCTGAGACTGCCTCTGGCGCGAGCCTTCTTCTCTGTTTCTAGAACCCCCTCCGTCCTTATCATCTAAATCGTCAGTACCGCCCGAGCTGCTGGTGTCAGCCGATCGGTTGCGGCGCTGCTGTCCTCCTCTCTGTTGGCCGCCAGATGCATTTCCTCTGCTTCGTGAGCTCTCGTTGTCTTCGTCTTCCTCCTCCTCTTCCTGCTCCTCTTCTGCAGCTTCAGCCGGTGCGCGTGATGCCTGTCGTGAGCGCTGTGCCTGCTGTCGAGAACGCCTGCCGTCTTCCGCCCTATCAGTCTGACCCGTCAAGTTTCCAGTTCTTTCCTCATCATTCTCTGTCGCTTCTGCACCTGCGGATCGCTCTCTGCTCCTCTGAGACTGCCTTTGGCGCGAACCTCCTTCTCTGCCTCTAGAACCCCCTGCGTCCTTTTCATCGGAATCTTCAGCACCGCCTGAGCTGCTGGTGTCAGCTGGTCGGTTGCGGCGCTGCTGTCCTCCTCTCTGTTGGCTGCTTGCTGCATTTCCTCTGCTTCGTGAGCTCTCATTGTCTTCATCTTCTTCCTCCTCGTCCTTCTCCTTTCGTGCATCTGCTTGGGGCGAGCGTTGTGCCTGTCGTGTGCGTTGTGCCTGCTGACGAGGCCGTCTGCTCTCTTCCGCTCTCTCGGTCTGACCCGTCAAGCTGCTACCTCTTTTCTCGTCCTCAGCACTCGCTTCTGAAGCAGTGGATCGCTGTCTACGTGACTGAGGCTGCCTTTGGCGCGAAGCGTCTACATTCCCAGGGCCTCTCTCTTTGTATTTAGCATCGGAATCTTCACCTTCTGCTGATTCGTTCGTCTCATCAGTTCGGCCGCGGCGCTGCTGGCCTCCTCTTTGCCGCCCGCCTGCTGCATTTCCTCTGCTTCGTGAGC